GTGGTTAGAGTGTCTCATTCCTTACACGATTTCAGCGTGTTTGGAATTTAGCTCAGGACGCGTGGAACACACTCTTGATTGTTTGTTTTCTGACCTCTTCTCACGATTTCAGCATGGTTAGAGTGTCTCATTCCGTACACGATTTTAGCGTGTTTGGAATTTATCTCAGGATGCTGTGGACACCTCATTTTTGATCGTCCTTAAGACTTGGGCGCCACTGATTGTTTACTTCGTGATGAATAGTGTGCAGTGCAAAGGTTCAATTTCTTCGGCAAGAGGAGTGAGTCAAATCCAAACCTTACACCCCACTTTTGGACCCAAAGATCTTAGACCTTAAAACCCTCTCTTTTAAAATGTTTTTGAAAGAAAGTTTTTACAATGCTCTGAGGCTGGCATTTTGTTAAATGTCGCGCTTTTCGGTAAACCGAGCAAGGACAAAGTGAAAATGAATGAAAGATAGGTGAACTCTTTGAAAAATCTACCAAAACACCTTATTTAGGGGCTTGGGGTTGAAGAAAAGGAGAGGGGAGGGAAGAAAACTAGTTTGGGAGAAGTTCGGCATGAATCCGGTTGAGCCAAAACTGAGTAGTCTTCACTAAAAAAGAGATATCTCTCAGTACAGTTGGAATTTTGATGTGAGGCTGCCACCATTGGAAATCTTACTTCTGGGGCTTCAATTTGGACACAAGAATGACCTGAAAAGGAGTCCATATGAAGGAATATGCCCATTTGCAGTTTGACCTGCAGAGTAGATTTTTGTTGTGGGCCACCAGGGGTGGCCGGCTAGCCAGTTGAGGTAGCATACCAGCCAGTTGAAGTAGTTGGCCGGCCACTTATGTCCAAAACTCAGTTATTTTGCAGATCTTTTCCCTCCAGCTAGTCTACACAAGCTCCAGTTGTCCTAATTTTGATATTTCGACCTTGAGCTCTTGTATTGCTATATATGGAGGCTATTTCACTCATTTGAAGAGGTTGACAAGTTTGGGGAGCCTCTCTCTCCAAATCTCTCTCTCTCTCTCTCTTTCTATAATTTTGTGAGCAAAATTTCAGCCTCTCTCTTTTCCTATATTGTGCATAGAAGTGAGAATTTCCTACACTCTTGCAAAGAGACCCTAGTCTAAACAGCTCTGCCTTGTTGCTGAGGTTCTTGGAGGTCCTATTTGAGCTCTCAAAGCTAATTTTGGCTCAGATTTGCACCTGTTTTGCTGTTGTGCTTCAAGGGTAAGCACTTGTCCCTTTTAAGCTTGTCTTGCACACTTGTTTTTGCCACCTTTGCAAACTATTTTTGGCTTGGTTTTGAACTGAAGAAAACTCTATTTTTCAATCCTAAAAATGGTGGTTTAAGCCCCTTTTGAGATTGAGGGTGGTCCACCCTTCTTGTCTCTTTGCTTGTAAAGCTTTTGTGCCATCTTTCAAAGCTTTCTCAAACAACTTTTTTTGCCCTTTTAACCACTGAATTCCAGAGGAATTTTAGTGGTGGAAAGGTGGTCTTGAGGTCCAAAATGGGAGGGGTGGTCCCCTCTCCTCATGTCATGTTTGCATGTGTTGATGGCCTACCAAGTGAGCATGTGTTTCTCCCTTTTTGAAGCTTAGTTCAAGCATGTTTTTGTGACTTTTTGGACCTACTCTAACTTTGTTTGTGGCTGGTTTGGCCACTTGTTGCTTATATCTTACACTTGTAGTGTAATCTTGCTTAATAGCCTTGAATGCCTAATGAGTTAGTCCATCGTTTTAGCTTGTGTTAGCTCTATCTCAGCATGTTTTTGATCATATTTTAGCATGCTTTAACTCTATTTTGGGTGGTCTTGATCACACATGCTTTACTTTGTATAGCTATAGTGTAAATGACCTTAACTAGCTTTGAGTTTTAGGACCCTTAGCATGCTTTGCTTGTGATGTTTCCATGATATGGCATCACTTAGCATATGATTTCAGAGCATATACCTTTGCCACACTCTTGCATGTGTCACTCCTTCATTGCTTCTAAGAGTTAAGTTTGTGCCTTGCTTGCGAGCCAACATGTGCGCATGATTTTCTTGCCTTTTTGTGCCTAAGTTTTAGCATGATTAGGCCACTGACTTGGCATGTTTTAGGTCTGTCCATGGCTGATTTGGTCATTTGAGCTTTGTATTGCATACCTCTAGTGTTGTGTCCTTCACTAGTTTTAATGCTTTTGACTCTTAACATGTTGTGCATGGTTTGTTTGCATGATTTTAAATTATTTAGCATGTCATTTCAGTGCTGAAATATATGCCATTGCACTCCATTGTTTCACTCTTTCATTTGCTTCAAAAGAGGTCTTTAGCCCCTTGTTGGCTTGGGCATGGAATTGAGGCTCTCATGCCTAATGGTTTTAGCCTTCTCTTGAGGGTTTCTACTAACCAAAAGCATGAGGCTTCTTTCATGCTCAAGGTGCTTGTGGCTGAGGCCATCTTTCCAATTAGAGGACTTTTACATTGAACTTAACCGGTTAAAGGACTAATTGGCACTGCAGGAATTTTCAGAATTCGCGACGTTTAAAAAACGCCACTATAAGCTTTAAAAATGCCGTTAAAAGATAAAGTGACGTTTATAACTTTCGTCGCAGATACGGCCGCCGTCTTAGGTATATGACGTTTATTAAACGTCACTAATGACTTTAGCCAGTGTTTTTTTGCACGCCGTAAATTCTCATACATCCGTTATCTAAAAACCGTCACAGTTAAATGTGACGTCATATGACGACATTTAGTGACGTTTTTTCAAAAACGCCATTTATTTTTTCTTTTTTTAACAAAACAAAAATTTGCACTGCTATTTATAGAAAGAAAAATATATAAATAAATTTCATTGCACTAAATCTGCAAAATAATGCTTCTCAAAAAAAAAAAAAAAAATCTGCAAAATAAGTATTCAATTGTCAAATTGCACTATTAGCTAAATAAGGTCAACTCTGAAAGGCAAGGATTTTATACAGAAGCACATAAACGAAAATAAACCAAACAGATTTAATTCCTCTTTTAGGTGGCTACAATTTTACATTTGACAAACAATATAAAAAAATTATAACATTTCCTACCTGTTTATATTTAACCAGAAACTATACCCCAAAAAAATATTAATAAAACCAAACTGGCCAATGCTCCTACAAAAAAACACTGGAATCAGCCATCAAAAAATAGAGAAACTAATCCAAAAATAAAATAAAAAGTTAGTAAATTATAATCATTGCCAATAATAAAATCAGCAAAAAGTTAGCGAGCAATCACAATCCAAGTTCAAAACTCTCACCACCACCTGCAAGCACCCACATTTAAAAAACTTCACGTTCATCAAATAAATATATACTCATAAGAGAAATTACGGACAGTTCGAGTATGGAGAGCACCACTTGAACTTGTTAAAAGGTAAAAAAAAATGTTTTTAATGCAAGAACACATTAGCACATTAATTATGTAGAAACAATAAATAATAAAATGAAGTATATAATTAGAGGCACATTAATTACTTGTGAAGATCAATTCCAGCCTTCTTAGAGGCACTAACAATGCAACTATATAATTAGAAAAGCCTAATAATGTATTTAGCAAACTAATAAAATAAATTCTCATCAATTTGCAACATATAAAGGGAATGGAAGGCTATATCACCATGAAGTTCAGGATGGCATACAGGAGGAAGTTGCCTTCCAGCTCAAATTTCTCCATCTGGAGAGAACATACATGCCTCAGTAGATATCAATTCAAGAAAACAATACAATCTAATTTTTGCCCTTACAAAATGGGGCATATATTAGAGATAAATTCTTCAAACTAGCAAAATGAATATTAATTTATTACTGAAATCTGTTGCACCCTCCGGTTTGTCATCATGTTCCTCATTATTGATTTCAATTGGTTCATACTATGATGATCCAAACAAAAATTAATGAGTAGGACCATAAAGAAAGAACAAAGCATATAGACAACAAGATATAATAATAATAATATAATAAGAGGGAAAAACAAAAAAAGAAAAAAAAAAGAACACTCAGGAAAGGAATGCTTGGAAGCACAATGGAATGCTTTGAAGTTATCAATGCAACAATGCCCCACTATTTTTGTTCTCCCATTTCCTGGTTAGTTGCATGTTCAATTTAGTCGATCATAGCAATAAATCTGGAAAATATGCTTGGCACAAGCTATGGTGCAAATGGTTCCCATTTATATTATTTTGGCACATTCAACTATTAGGGCTACGAGCCATTTAGGGGCCAACCCACTAGGTTGGTGCCTAGCAGCCTCAAGTCTACAAACATTCAATAAATTTAAAATAAAAGTGGAGACAGCTACAAGAAGATGATCAGAAGACCCGTTAGAAGTTACCAAACTAACAATACTTTTTTCCTTTCAAATTCACAACCCTAAGATGGAATATGAGGGAGGAAGCAGAGAAGTTGCAAAAACCTCCATTCATCGAAATAAGTGAATCAACCAGTTACACCAATGCACAACCAGATACTTTGTTAAAAATCGAGTATTATACAATGTCATGAATGCAGAATACATTCCTATGATACAGTCATTGGCAAGAACTCAAAGACTTAAAAGTCAAATGACTAAGGACTGTTTGGTATGTAAATAAATGGGATTGAGATGTCCATAAAGAAAATTTCAGGCACATTTCATCTAGTCGTGTATCTATCCTGTATAGTTAGCAGACAATAGCCATATAATACTAGAATTCAGAATCTCACCATGAAAGAGAGAAGGCTAGTAGGTCTGCTATATTTAAGACATACAAACTCTGGTCAGCATCAGACGCTAGATTAAATGGTTGCAAACAATGATATCTGTTTTTCATCAATGACAATGTATTACCTTGATACAGACCACATCAGATTCCAACTTTCTGGATGAACTGAAAAATGATAGAAATGAGGTGAAAATAAAATTAGTTTATTAGAAAGAACAGATGATTCCTAGACCAATGATATTTAACGGCACTTACAATCACTCATAGATAGGCAGATTTTCTTTTGAGTCATAAATCGTCCGTTTGGAGTAGTCATACTACAATGGAAACAAATGTAATTTTCAGTTAAAGAAACCTAGTGAAAATGTTAAAAATAAAAATAAACATGAAGCTGCTAAAAAAGCATCAAAATATTTTTTGTGGAAAAATTTAAGCAGACAGAATCCACAATACCTGATTCCTGGAGGTTTAAATGGATACTCTAGAGGAAACTTGATTTTCCCATAATAATATCCACCTTACCATAATAAGTGGGAAACATTCATGAATAAAATAAAATAAAAAATTCCATGTTCCAAGAACAATAGCAAACAAAACCAACGATGAAATAAATGTCGTGTGCCACAAATGCATAACACTTCATATCAAACCTGCAAAAGGAGTTCCTTCACTTCCCTCTAGTACATAATCTGCAACATATAATTGTAGAATAAAATCATGTTACGTAATTAACAAACAAGAAGTGGATGAGAAAGCATATAGACAAATGATGCATGCCAGCTGATGTGATACATGGATAAATGCTGAAAAAAGTGTCACTGATAAAATGGTTTCTGGTGTTCCCGTAAAGCTTTTTGTAATTATTCATAAAAGCCCAAAAAGTGTACTGGTTCTTCAATTATTAGTCTATGCTTTGTCCTTTGTGATGCCAACCTTTGGAAAACAAAACCTATCGAGGAAACTAAAAAATGTTGAAGATGTAAACCAATAGGACACAAAAAGAATTAGAAGACAGATAAACCTTGAGACCTCCTTCAAGTAATATTTATGAATCTCGAGTAAAATATGAATTTTTCCCCAAAGGGCAGGCAGAGATTAATTACCCACAAAAAAAAAAAAAAAGGCAGAGATTAGCCACTAACCAGAATCCTATCTCCGTATAGTAAATACGGTGTCACCAAAATCAAACACCTCAGCAACAGCAACCTATCACAGCAAAATTATAAACAAAACTTCCCGAATGCTTGCTGGCCAGCAAGCTCCACCATGGCAGACCTTGGTCTGGCACCCAAGCACTAACCTCTATGATCCCTCCACCTAAAGCCCTAGGTCCACCAATAATAATAAGATAAAATAAAAATAAAAATAAAAAAAGTTTTCTATTGACACATTTTATCGAACATTGGACCTGCAAGGAAAATAGTACAATAAGAATCACAATATCAACAAGCTATTCGAACCAAAAAAAAGATCCATAAAAAAATTTATGTCAGTAGGATAAGAATCACAACATCAAGGAATACTAACCTCAATTACAAATCGGTCATCATCAATATGCATAGGAGAGTGACAAAGATAATGAGATTCAATAAAAGATAATGAGATTCAACTAGTCACTAGCACCAATTTTAGAAACTGTTTTGACATTTTCTACAAGGAAAATGTGATAAGAGTGACAAAGATAATGAGATTCAATAAAAAACAGAGAGAGGTCCAAATCTCATAGAGCAATGAAAAGAATGCGTGAAATTCGATTAGAGAGGTTGAGAGAGCATATTTGATATTACCATAATAGCAGATCGGAGAGACAGAGAGAGCAGATCTGATTGGATAGAGAGCAGATCTGAGAATAAGAACTACATCTCGACATCGTTGAGCTTGCTTCTACTCACTGTTGTTAACGATCCGGATCCAACGCTGCTTGCTTATCCTGTACGTGATCAGAGACATTAACACGGCACTGAAAACCCTAGACACATCGATTCAAAAAGCGAAAATACAAAACAGAAGAAAAGAAACTATAAATCAACTATAAATCGTTAGTTTCAGCCATGAAAGTTTACAGATCTAGTGTGAATGTAGCAAATCCATATCAGAAAACTCTAACCTTAAGCCCTAGATCGACTTAGATTAAGAAGGAATCAAACGTTATTACAGACATACGCTCAAATCAAGTGTAGAACAAAATTTCCAGATCATACAACCAAATAATCGATGGAGATCGAAGATCCAAGCCCTTGATTTCTCTCTCTGCCTCTCTCTCTCTCTCTCTCTCTCTCAAAAGTTATGCCTCTTCTTTTGATCAGAAAAGTATTGCCACTTCAATCACAAATAAATGTTACTTCACTGTTTTTAATAACGGCGAACAAACGAGATGAAATAATTAAATTTGCACAGAAGGTGAAAAATTATAAAACATTTCACAACGTTTTTCAAAAATGCCAAAAAAAAAATGTGGTAATATCCTATTTTTCTTGTAGTGTGGTAAGCTAAATGTGTAAACAAAATGACCAAAGTAAAACTTATGCAAGATAAGCATGTTGTTTGCATTGCATGTGTTTGGATCAGATGTTAATCCAAACACAAGAAATATGGGACGTTTCATACTCATAGTGATGAAACGTGTCGCGTTTCTTGGTCGCCATCCTCCTTGATCATGCATGATAGGGTGGAGGCTCTTCGAGTCTTATTTGTGCATTCATCGACATTGTACAAGCTTGGTTCTTGGCCACCATGCACTGAAAATGCTTGGTTGGTGGCTTGAGAGCCGAGTGCCACACTTCTTTGAGCTTGAGACATGATGAGGGGAGTGGCAGTACACATATTTCTTGGCAAATACATTGTCTTGGCTCTGTTGCAGCAAAGGCTGGATTCTGGAAAGAGAAGTGGCCGGCCGGCCACCTGAAGGAGAAATTGTCCAAAGCGATCCTATTTTAGGGCAGAAGCCATCCGGATGTTTGTGCAGCGTTCTGAGATCACAATGAGTGCAAACAGAGGCAACTCATGGCAAGACAATGCGTTTTCGGGCGAAGCACACCGAGCATGCATGTCTCCCTCACCCGAGGCCATTTTACTGCTTTACTTAGCTAGTTAATTTACTAGTTTTGTAATTAATTAGTTAATGTGTTTAGCTAATTCAATTCATCTTTGTAATATTCTAATTAGCTTAGATTAGCTAGTTATTCAATTTCATTTGGTTTGTAATAATTAATTAGCTAAGTTAGTTAATTAGTTGGCTTGTAATACTTAGTTAGCTTTAGCTTAGTTCTTATTTATTTAGACCATCCTTCGAGAGGGCACAATGTTGTAATAAATGTGCGTGTATGTGTGCATGTCTTCCAACCCCACTCCATTCTCCCTTTTACTTAACCGCTTTCGATGGTTAGTTTTAGGGCATTCTTCAATTAGCATCCTTATGCTTGCATGCATGCATCATTCATTTGTCTTGCATGCACTGGTCTCGATGCATCATTCAAATTGCATCGTATTTCAATACTTATTTGAATACGCACTTCAAAGCATGTTATCAAGTTGCATTCATATGCCGTCCTAGATAGTCGAGCCTATTTAGTTGCGTTTTGCATGTGTTGCATTAGGCATGTAGCATAGTTATGATCATGCATGATTTTCTAACTGGCCTTTGTTTTGGCTCGGAGTACACTGTAAGTGTTTACGCATTAGCATCCTTGCATGAGTGTGAGTGTTGCCATGATTAGCATGCTTGCCATGAGGCTATGTGCTTACTTGCTTAAATGCATGAATGCCTGTGGGTGAAGGCTTTATTGCTTGAATTGGGACAATTCGATAATTGTGAGTTTTAAGCCCACTTTGCGAAGTGGCAAATTATGTTTTCAAGCCCACTTGAGGGTGGCAAATCCGTGCTTTAGCCTACTTGCGAGTAGCACTTTCAAACCAATTTCGAAAACAAACATGAGTTGTTTTGTTCCAATACTCGTGATTGAGTCTATACTTGTATGCAGTGTGCATCACATAGTAAGTTAGCTAAATAATCGGATAAGAACATATGAGGTTTATAAAACAACATATCATGCTTAGTAGAGGCCGATCCTTTGATCGGGCGAGTGGGGGTGCTCATTGCATGACATTCCCCTCTCGTACCCAAGTTCTCGAGCCGAGGCAACTTTGGTGATGACGGACACGTGGCCTTTGGCACAAGTCAGGGTTTCCTAAATTTCCCAAAACAAAATATTTAGGTGGCGACTCTGTAATCTAGCAAAGCAGCCCATGTTTGTCGCTTTTTTTATTCAAAATTGATTTTTCAAAACCAATTGCCAGATTTGGACTTTTTGGTGTTTATCAGCCTCACATTGCACTTTGTGAGACTAGATTCAGGACTGTAATAGGAGTCCGAACTGTAGTAAGACCAAATTCGCGCCCCCTCCGAAAGGGGGGGTGCGCGAAGAAAGTTGGGTCTATAGATGCATCGAGCGCGCTCCTAATTGTTTGCTTTCCGACCTCTTGTCACGATTTCAGCGTGTTTGAAATTTATCTCGGGTTGCGTCGAGCGCACTCCTAATTGGTCGTTTTCCGACCTCTTCTCATGATTTCAGCGTGGCTAGAGTTTTCATTTCTTACACGATTTCAACGTGTTTGGAATTTGTCTCAGGTTGGGTCGAGTGCGCCCCTGAGTAGTTGTTTTTTGACATCTTCTCACGATTTCAGCATGGTTAGAGTATCCCATTCCATACACGATTTCAGCGTATTTGGAATTTATCTCAGGTTGCGTCGAGCACGCTCCTAATTGGTTGTTTTAGGACCACTTCTCACAATTTCAGCGTGGTTAGAGTGTCCCATTCCTCACACAATTTCAGCGTGTTTGGAATTTATCTCAGGTTGCATTGAGCGCGCTCCTGATTGGTTGTTTTTGGAACTCTTCTCACGATTTCAGCGTGGTTAGAGTGTCCCATTCCTCACATGATTTCAGCGTGTTTGGAATTTATCTGAGGTTGCATCGAGCGCGCTCCTGATTGGTTGTTTTCCGACCTCTTCTCAAGATTTCAGCGTGGTTAGAGTTTTCATTTCTTACACGATTTCAACGTGTTTGAAATTTGTCTCAGGTTGCGTCGAGTGCGCCCCTGAGTAGTTGTTTTTCAACCTTTTCTCACGATTTCAGTGTGGTTAGAGTGTCTCATTCCTTACACAATTTCAGCGTGTTTGGAATTTATCTCAGGATGCGTCGAGCGCGCTCCTGATTGGTTGTTTTTGGACCTCTTCTCACGATTTCAGCGTGGTAAGCGTGTCTCATTCCTCACATGATTTCAGCGTGTTTGGAATTTATCTCAAGATGCGTCGAGCGTGCCCCTAAGCAGTTGTTTTTGGATCTCTTCTCACGATTTTAGCGTAGTTAGAGTGTTCATTTCCTCACACGATTTCAGCGTGTTTGGAATTTATCTCAGGTTGCGTCGAGCGTGCCTCTGAGCAATTGTTTTTGGACCTCGTCTCACGATTTCAACGTGGTTAGAGTGTTCCTTTCCTCACACAATTTCAGCCTGTTTGGAATTTATCTCAGGTTGTGTGGAGTGCGCCCCTGAGCGGTTGTTTTCAGACCTCTTCTCACGATTTCAGTGTGGTTTGAGTGTTCCATTCCTCACACGATTTCAGCATGTTTGGAATTTATCTCAAGTTGTGTGGAGTGCGCCCTTGAGCGGTTGTTTTCGAACCTCTTCTCACGATTTCAGCGTAGTTAGAGTGTTCTTTTCCTCACACGATTTCCGCACTCCTGAGTGGTTGTTTTCAGACCTCTTCTCATGATTTCACCGTGGTTT